ACTGTTGGATAAGAACCACAATCATAATCGTGACGAGTAATGTTGCTGAAAACTAGGGATTCCTCTGTTTGGGAAAGGGTTTCCAATTGGTTCTGACTGGTTTCTGATTGAGCAAGGTTTTGTAACTTTTGTTATTGAATAGATGGGCTGATTCTTTAGTGTTAGTTTATGATTTGACTGCAACTGAGTACCAGTCGCTATCATTTAGTCTCTTCACTTGAAAAAGGGACGATTTCTGTTGCTGCCAGGTCTGCAAACATCAAGTTTGAAAGGAAAAACACTACGAGCAAAGTTAACAAGAAATGAAGACTGAATGAGCCTCTAGAGTTGGCTTTAACATGCTCTTCCAACTTTCAATTCCTGCTTTCTCGCCCAACTTCCTGCGCGCTTAATAACTCAACTGATCATGAGGACCTAATTTTTTCTTAAACATTCCCTGCATGTCTAGATATTCCGGTATGTGACTAACAAAGCAACAATGGAATACGAAGCATAAATGCCATATAGGCTATAGCCTAATTTACTTGTATACTAAACCAAATATTTAAGTTGTCAAACTGCAATCTACTCCATTCATTCCTCCTTACTTCACTGATTTGTTTGTGTCTATTTCATTTGTAAATTTTCTGGTGACTTAAAAATTTTCGGATCGGAGACCAAACTCCTCTGGTCCGATGCCTTTTCCATCCTGGGTAGTATGAAATTGCATCCAGTAATTAATCTTTGCTAACTGTTTTGAAATTACGATGACAGTGTGTATCACGTTTACTAGGTTTTAAAATATCCATAAATATATGTTATATATATACAGGCCACCGTACTGTCGATAAACCAAATGAAAGTATGACACATATATCTATAGAATTTCTCCTGCAAAAAATTCTCCATGCGAAATTTAAGTATAGGCTTGGGGGATATTAATTTTGATGATAACCACTCTTTAGATACTTTAGGTTAAATGCCAAACATACAGCTAATTTGGGGGCCGTAGTTTCAGCTAAGTGCAAATACGACACGCAAAACATGATCTAACTGTAACAGCAATAGCGTGATTAAAAAGGAAAATATTTAGATTTAGGAGATCTTGAAAACTATACGTTGGTCCGGAAATTGCGGTTCGGAAATGTTATTTCCTACACTTGCTGCCGCCAAGTTGAAGTTAAACTACCTGGCGGTGGGAAAAGCTCATACTTTTTAATAATTAAACTAGAAATAGTTTACACTAAAACTGCCCCCGGCTGATTATGGCTTACAGATATTAATATGAAAAATTAAATATTATTACTACTTTCTGGCTTTCTTTTAAAACGCTTAGAATGTTGATAAAATTGGACGAACTTTAAAAATGAAACAGTAACCACGTGAAACTTGGCCTTGTGCGTCCATCCGGCCATGGCGTCCTGGAAAACAATAACTTTTGCATTCTATTGCGGCTTTCTTGGATCGAAATTTGTGGATTAAACAATCAAGAACATCATTTGTTGAATGTTTAAAGTTATTAAAAGCAATTAAAGTTGTAGAAAAGGTGTTGAAAACATTTTTAAAGGCAATGACGTACTACCAAATGACGAATAATCACGCGAGCGACACTTGCTAGGAAGATGGCGACCGTGGGACAACTTTTTTACTGAAGTTACACACTATGATCCGGCTGAACGAATGGCGCTTTTCAATATATATAATGGAACAATGACTATGAGTCCCTTGTTTCAAGCGTTTCATGTGACCGTTGTGTGTTAAGTCCCGTTTACACGAGCAAATTTTATTTGACAAATTTAATTCATATGTCAAAGATATTTTGCTCGTGTAGATGATAAATTTGTGACAAATTTATTGTGACAAATGCATTTGAACAAAAGCTAGCATGCTAGCTTTTGATCAAATACATTTGATCAAATGAAATTTGTCAAATAAAATTTGCTCGTGTAAACGGGGCTTTAAGCTTTGCTTGATTTTTTATGTTTGTAGGCCTATTTGTTTTTGACTGACTGATGTGTGAACCGTATCTTTTGGTTCCTGTTTCGATTAATGTGACAAATCGTATAGTTGATACCAAGATAGACACGGAGTTTTTAATCTTGTGTTACTGTTTAACCTTTAAAGCTTTTCATTATTTAATGGATTGACTCCGTCACCAACATCAGATGATATAGTAACGTTAACAACATACATATCATGTACCTCACAAGTCTATTAATAGACACGTAAAACAGACCATAGAAATAAAATGCCGTTTGACAATGTGTTGACCCAAGCGAATAATAATTCTTACAGAAAGCAACCTTTGAACCCTCACCTTTTAACTGACTTGCGCAGCTACGACGCTACGCCAATAATTCACTTGCCTTTTATTATAAAATTTGAACCCTCAGCTTTTAAACTTGTGTCATTTGTGGCTTTTTACTGTAATATATGAACTCAGTTGCTTCTAATCAGCTTGATAGCTTTAACAATTTATCCATGGCGGGGACTTCAATGCCCCCCATTGTTTTTGCGATATTACCCGCCAATGCTAGCTTTGCGGGCAAATAACATATACAGTTGATATCATATTACGTGCGGGGACTTCAATATATGCCTCCTCGGGTTTTGGCCCTCTGGGGCCAAAACCCTGCGGGGGCAACAAAACAAATACGGCTTGATCTATTTTAGGGTGACTTAGCCCCCTGTGAAAATTGTTGCGGGTACTGAAGAGCCCCCAGTTCAAATTCACTTAAGACATATTTCATTTACTACAACTGTGTTCACTTATTAATTTTATCCACTTTGCCTTTTAGGCAGCGATCGGAATCTTCATATTACTGTCTGACTCTGATAATTTTTATTTTGTTTTGGGAGGGGAACTATAGCCCCCCTAGCCTCCCTGTCCCGCCGCCCCTACGTTCGAAATATAATTGAATAATCAGTTCCAGGCTGTAATAGCTTCGTCTACAAAATTTTTATGACTTAGCCGACGTTTTAGTAGTGAAATATATTATTTATATGCCTTTGCTTATTAAAAACTGTAATGTACAATGCTTTTTACCTGGATCACTCTCGAGTACCGCTAAGTTTAGAAGAGTGCGTGCGAAAAACTATAGTCCTCACTGCATTCGACTAATCCCTTCTTATAGTAACGTTTGCTCGGTAAATATAATTGAGACATGCCCTCTGGGAGAACGGGAAATATGGAATATAGAAACATAAATATTACATAACTTATTGGTGCCGTTGCCAACAAAGATGAAGCTAATAATAACCCCCCTACCTTTTTTATCTCGAGTCGCTAAGTTTCGAAGAGTGCACGCGAAAACCTTCTAGCCTGCCTTCCCTGCGTGGGAGCAGAAAGACCGCATTATTCGGCCAATATAATCCTTGCTTAGAGTAACGTTTACCTGAATATAAATAAGACTTGCGTCATCGACAACGGGAAATATGGGGGGAATTATATAACTTGTGTTTTTTTGTGGTAAATCAAGTGAATTATTATTATTAAAACTTACTGGATGAATCCAATATGTGTTTTATTGTATCTTAGAACAAGACAATTCTTTTGAAGCGATATTAGACTGATTTAGAAAACACGATGCAAACTGACAACTTTGAGAAACAAAGAAATCTTCGTGCAAAACAATTAAAAAGTTGGATAATAATTTGTGATCCCAGCAGCGTATCCTCAACAGCGTTGTCATTCTGAATACAACGTTAAAATACTAAAATCATGTCAGCCATAACATGTCACGTGGAGTGACTTTATATCTGATAAAACTCATCTTCATTAGTGTTCTTTATATAATTGTTCATCCTAATTAGTATGATTATATAATTGTTTATCCTAATTAGTATTCTTTTGTAGTCGTATTTTAAGCTATTCAAAACACTCGAACTCGCGTTTTATCATATCTAAAACGCTCGGCTGCGCCTCGCGTTTTAAATATGATAAAACACTCCTTCTCGTGTTTTAAATACTACTTAATTAAAGAGTACTAGCGTTCTCACGTCATTGGAGCAATGTGAATAATTGTTGCAACGTTCGAGGACTTAAATATGATCTGCCTCATAGCAGAGGCTGGACCGTTTTTACCGAACTTTCGATCGTTTTCCCGAAGCCGTTCAGTTAATTAAAAAAAACCTTAAATTTATTACAGCAATCAATTGCCGGTTCCTTATAGCTGAAATTGAAACCATGCACGAGTCGTCAAGTTTGCCTTGTCGTCTTTTTTAAATCTGTCTAAACAGAAACAACTGCGCATGCATGTACAGTATCACCAAACATTAGCGGCGAATTTGCTCAAGTACCGGTAATTAAAATTAAAATTAACTTTTCGTCGGCATTGCCCTTTGATAACAGACCGCATGGTCCGATTATATAATCGATGTCATAACCTCTGGGTTACTGCAAGCATGGATAATAAAATAAATGGATAGGACTCTAGCTGACGTAAGCAAAGACAACCTAGTTGCAATCTGTGACGTCACGCGTGTTGCAAAGTTCTTGGCATTTTTGTTGTTTCGCTAGACTTTCTGCTTTAAAAGAGTAATATTGAAGCATGAACTGGTCTAATTGTTTCAAAAACACGCCTAATTAAGCCACGACAAAGTATTCAAGGTAAATGTTTCTCGTCTTTGTTTTGTATTTTTTTACATTTGTAGCTATGAAATTGACGTCCCCAATTTTAACGAAATTTGGGATGCATTTTTCACTGTTTAGTGCTTGAAATATTTGCTAAAATTGACTGGGAATACTTAGAGATTTCATTGTAGAATGGCGTATTTATATTTATTTGCTCTTTGACTAAAATGTTTAGCTGTATTATTGCTAAACATGCCGTTATTGAGAATTTGGTTTGCAACTAGGTTTCAACATCCAATCACGCCATCAGTCCATTGAAAACATTAGGTCACGTCAGCTAGTTTCCTATCCATTTATTTTATTATCTATGCTGCAAGTTATAAAGACGATACTCAGAATATAAAAATCTATTCAAAAAAACATTATTTTTTAACTTACCATACAATGCAAACGATTTATCTTGTTGTTATTTCGAATTGTAATAAAGAATATACTGGAAGTTGATCATATAAACATTATGAAATATATCGACATCCTCATTTCGCTTGCTTATGGGTGGTGACAGGTCGAGCGTCGGGACTCAAAAGTGGAGGTCGAGGCTCGAAAGGCGAGGTTCGAAAGTCGAAAATACTAAATTTTTATCAATTTTAAAATTTTACCTCCATGTTGCAAACTTCTATAAAACGCGAGAAAACACTAGTTTGACGGTCAAAACTGAAAGATTTTGCCTATATATGTATATCTGAAAGTATCGCTTGTGTGATTAAAAGTCTGATGCGAGGTTTGATGTTTGAAAATATACATCTTTTATTTTACATTGGATGTAAATAAACACATGGGCGATTATACAAAAATGGCGTTTCGCTTCTCCGAATATATGAAAAAGTTTGATTTTATGTACTATATGTTGTCTCTTGGTGGCGACAGAGCCAACGGATGTTTTCTGAAATTGCTCAGAACGGTTGTTTTCTGAAATTGCTCAGAATTTCTACTTAGAGATACTCCTCATACCGCGTATGATGTTAGAGGTTTAAAGCGTTTGGGTGTTTTAGTGATTATGAGAGTTTTTTGCTGTGCTGGGACTCGATTCGTTTTGACTGGGTACAATAAAATACAATATATTTTCGAATCACATCGTTCTTGAATATTTTTATAGTAATTTTATACTCTCTGAAAAACAAAAAGGAACCTTATTATGCCTACATAATTATAAGGCATTGTTCTGTACTTCATATGAAAATTCCCTAACAACGATCTCGAACCCATAGTTCCATTCGAGACACTTAAAAAGAAGATCAAATTCTCTTAAAAATATCCGCTAGAAAAGATCAAATTCTCTTCAAAATATCCGCGCAATACTGCATCAGGTTGGGGCGTTGTTTGAAATTTCTATATCTTCGATTTCACGAGCAACAAACAACAAGTTATTACCAGGAAAACCTTTACAATTTTGACAACAAATGCGAAAAATGTAGTATTCTAGAAGTATTAATAAAACAATTAGTATTTCGACTTCGAACCTCGACTTTCAACCCTCGACCCTCGACCTAGACGTTTGAGTCTCGACCATCGTCCTATGACCCTCGACAATTACCCAAACTCCTTGCTTATAATTATATATAAGCAATCGATCACAAAAGTGATAGTACCATTGCAACTCGAGTTTGGGTAATTGTCGAGTGTCGAGGGTCGAGACTCAAAAGTCGAGGTTGAGGGTCGACAGTCGAGGTCGAGGGTTAAACGTCGAGGTCGAGGGTCGAGGGTCGAAAGTCGAAGCTCGAGAGTCGAAAATATTACAATTTTTATTAACACATTTCTAGAAAACTACATTTTTTGCATTTGTTGTCAAGATTTTAAAAGTTTTCCTGGTAATAACTTGTTGTTTGTTGCTCGTGAAACCGAAGATATAGAAATTTCAAACAACGCCCCAACCTGATGCAGTATTGCGTGGATATTTTTAAGAGAATTTGATCGTTTTTCTCTTTTACAGTCGTGCCAATAGAAACGTTTTTCGGAACGCTTCTATTGGCACGACTGTAAGTATCTCGTATGGGTTCGAGATCGGTGTAACGGAATTTTGATATTAATAGCAACTAATATCAAAACTAATGGTATATCACAATAGCTTTAACTGTATTAATGTTAGTGCAATCGCCTTATGTGGGCATAATTTTTATTTTATTTTTTTTATGAACTATATTTCAACACGGTAGAATTTCATCTATACTAAAATTAATTATGTACAAGATATAAAAAGAAAAAAAAGTGATCTTCCAACCGGCCGTGCTCACACAAACAGAAATAAGAAATAATTACAAGAATATTATTTTAGGTAGATGGAAACAATGGCAGGATCACTTGATGTTAATTTGCATGCTTCAAGTTAGACTTAAAATTAGCAATAGTTGTTGATGCTTTTACCGATGCAGGAAGGCAGTTCCAGACTTCCGCACCTCTGTAGGAGAATGCATTTTTCATACTATTTGTTTTTGGTTTAGGCAATGTCAAATCGGCTCCCGACTGTCTTGTGTTATGGTTGTGTACATCACCCACATTTGTGAACATATCACACAAGTAATCGGGAACCAATTTGTTTTTCACCTTGTACATGAGAATTGAAAGTTGTTGCATTCTTCTTTTTTCGAGGTTCGGAACTTTTAGGTTGTTTAGTAATATATCAGCCGATCGTGTCGTATAATTCTCACGAGTGATTATTCGAAACGCTCTGTTTTGCGGTAATTTTTTAACTTTAGCTGCTAATGTTTTCCCTAAGCAACCCCACACTTGAGAACAATAATCGAAATAAGGTTGACTTATGGATTGGTATATATTGTTATTAAGGTATTGAATTCGACTGTATCCCGGAGTCGTCTGAGAATAGCAAGGCCTGAAGTGACCTTTTTTGAAATGTGTTCGACCTGCGCGGTCCAGTCTAACGACTCGTCTATCATTAGACCCAATGATTTTGTCATTTCAACTCTCTTAATTTCTAAATTACCTACACTGATAGCAGGATCGGCAGTCACTTGACTGAGCCTTTTCTTGGAACCAATTAATTATCGTATATTCGGTTTTACTATTGTTCAGAGTTAATTTGTTTGCGGACAGCCAATTTGCAACATTGTTTAAATCTCTATTTAATGTTTCAGTGATAACTTTGATATCGTCACTTGATTTTGCAATTTGGGTATCATCCGCAAATCTATCTGGTTTTGTCCCGGCGTTTAAATCATTGATCTAAATTAGAAATAACAATGGGCCTAAACCAGAACCCTGAGGTATGCCTGTTTTCATAATTGATGGACTTGATAGTTTGCCATTCACACAACAGCACTGGGTCCTATTTAATAGATACGACTCCAGGCAGCGATGTGCCGTTCCCTTTATTCCATACGTTGCTATTTTGTCTAAGAGTATATTGTGGTCGACAGTATCGAATGCTTTTTTCAGATTCAGAAATACAATCCCATTTAGTTTCCCAATGTCAATATTTGTATACCACTCGTTGGTTATGTCCAGTAATGCTGTAACAGTTGAGTGATGTGGTCTAAATCCGTGTTGGGAGTTTGAAAGTAGATTATAGTTATGTAAATAATTATAGATTTGGTTATGAATCAGCTTTTCTGCAATTTTGGCAACTACTGATATAACGGATATTGGTCTGTAGGTCTTTTAGGTTCCTTGTTTCCAAAATATGTTGTATTTTATTGCACTATCAAAACGAATTGAGTCTCAGCGCAGCAAAAATCTCACAATCGTCGTCAGATAATTTTGAATCGAAGTAAAATCGCCCTCGCGCTTTAAATCTCTAACACTATAGTAATCACTGGTACGAGAAGAAATCTCTAACTTGAAGTTCTGAGCAATTTCAGAATCAATGAAACAACGCGGAAAACATCCGTTGGCTATCTCGCCGCTACGAAATAACATAGGACTTATCCAATTAAATTCTCATGCCCTTGGAGAGCGAAACGCCATCTTTGTATAACAATCCCCAAATTTTAATATTTTAAGTTCGACATTCGACCTTCGGCCCGTCACCCTCGACATTCGACAATTATCCAAACTCTTCGAACTCTATCCACATAAAGTTTTATGCGGTTACGAAAATTGAACAATTTTGCAAATTTTATGTTGCCTAGCGACAACAGACAAAATCTGTGTTGTCTGAGGGTTAATATCTTCGGTTGCTTGTATCCAACGGTATTGAAACTATCGGCAATCGATTTCGCATAACGTGATTGATCTGTGCATGGCATGGATTTCATTGGTTTACGTCAAAACTAAGCAAGTCTGTTTCGTTCAAAGGCAAAATACAAGCATAGGTAGCCCAGACATAAAGTGCGATTTAAATTTAAATCCTTGGTTATCAACCTCGTATTAAATAATAATAATTAGCTCCAAAATATTCTGAATTTTTACACTAAACTGTGCCCCTAATCAATATTAATCGTTGAAAGAAATAAACTTAATTAAGTACATAACATAAGTGGTTTTATACTAACTGGGTACAAACTATGAATAATTTTTGACACTGTATGTCAGAATATTAATTTTTGAGCTAATCAGTGTTATTATGAGGTTGATACTGCAGGGGGTAAATATGTTGTAGAAAATATAGGAAAAGGAATCTTTTGTAGAAAATTCTTACAATTTCAGTATCCCTTCTTATATTGATGTATATAGTTCTCAGTCAAGAGCTTGATAACATTTCAAGTACTCAGTTATTGTGAGTCACTTCTTGCACATCCTATCACGATATGCGGATGTTGTTTCAAGCGACGTTTCAGCTTGATATATACATAACAATGCCTACCTCTGGCTGGATGCCAGAACCTAATTCAGGAAGTTTATCGGAATTTAGTATGACTACTGTATAGTTTCAGTACTAAGTATTTTCATGCGTTCATTATTTTGAAGTTGTCACACAAAATTCGTCTCAAAGCCTGAAAAACCTTTTGTACAGTTTCCAACCTTCATTCCGTAGTCTTTCATTGGCCCAGAAGAAAACAAGTGAATTAAATGTGGAATTCATTGCAACCAATGTTAGTGTCCAGATTTTAGCTTGAACTACTCCATCTACAGTCTCGACTCGCTCACTAAACAAAGCTAAAACTAGCGCATTTGGTAGATTTAGGAGGATGGTAGAGAAAACTACAACTACATACATTTTTGCAAGTTGTAAATCATGGAAAAATGAGACTGTTTTCTTTGGCCGAGTGGAGTCACGTGATTCACGTGCAGATGTAGTTTCCTCTATTGTGATTGAGAACACGTCTTGGCCAGTACGACTTGATGAACGTAACTTCGAATTTCGTCCTTTCTTAGCCACTTTATAAATTGAAATATATATAAAGAAAGTTCCTCCTAGAACAAACACTGCAAGGGCTGTGACAAAAAATTGAATGTTCATGCCAAATATGGGAGCAATTCCTGTCCCTATGCAAATCAGCCAGAGACACACAGATAGTATGAAACATCTCTCTTTCGTTACGTTTCTCATATGGTAAAATGGTCGACAAATTGATAAGTATCTCTCGATATTCATAACGAAAAATGTAAGATATGACATCCCTGATAACATAACTGCTGACGTTTGGTAAACCATTTTATAAATGCACTGCGAAGTCTGGGTAATCTCAGCTATCGAATTGACCAAATGAAACGGATGGACAATTATTGTCACACACATGTCAATACAAGATAAGAGCATTATCATGAAATAGGCCACTTTATTTCGTAATTTCGGAGTTTTCCAGAAAACGGCCACGACCAGAGCATTCAGAAATGTTCCTACAATTGCTAAGATAGCGTTCACAATGCAACCAAATATGCTGTTTATAATATACGATGTTGTCGGCTTACGAACGATATATGTCATGAAACAACTCTCGATCTCCTGATCACCAGAGGAAACATTGAACGCTGTCGTATTCAGTGGATCCGACATATTGATAGACATGAGTTAAATGCAAGTATATCCCAAATTACCAAATACAAATTGGCGTCCAGTGTTAAAGAGTATACAGTTTAACAGCCTACTTGAAATGTATTTACTCATAATAACTCACTCAAGAGATTGTACAAACCTCTTTATATATGCGTCATTGTGCATGATTATGCACGATATTTCTTTGTCTTCACTGAATGGGTGCCACTGATAATACAATTCATTTTGGATACGGCATGCTTTGAAGTACTCTATAGTTTCATTTTCGAATATTGGTCAAGTTTCGAGGGCGAAGGTAAAATGTCCTGGGCGATGGTAAAATTCGAGGGTAAAGTGCCGGGTAGGTGAGTATATTAACTGTCGACAGTTAAAATGTCGAGGGGATTGTGAGATATTTTGCGAAGAACAGAAGTTCGAAACTGGTCATTGCTAATAAACCTGCATTTAAATAGATTCAAGACAATACATTTCTAAAGGTTTGAATAATGCAAATCATTAAAACATTTTCGCTGGTTAAATTGCTTTATAATATAGTCTTTACAGCCATTAACTGCAGCAATAATATGTTCATCTTTGTTGCTATATTTTGACAGTTCATTCAGACTATTCAGCCAAAATCCGTGTCGCAACTGTTTGAAGATTTCGGAAAAGTTTTGTCAGAAATCGCCTTAACGGCTTAATTATTGCGAATTACGTCATTGACAATCATCATGGTTGTGTTAAAAGATAAAGAAGTATGTGCATGTTTTTACACTGGCCTGCAAGGCCAAGTGGCTTAAATCCTTAATTTTCTGGGTTTTTCTGGGTTTTTTCGTCGTCGAGAAATCGAGTTTGTGTTGGCGCATCGCAGGCTCAGTTTCCAGAGTTCCAGTTCACTATACAGATTTCAAGATGGCAGCCATTCAATGAGTGACGATTTCAGTCTCAAACAATTTTATTCATTTGTCAACGAATTTTACTGCGTTTTTCTGTGGAATTTGTATTTATCCTATATATACTCTGCACTTTCTTGCAAGTTGACTTGGTGTTGTTTATTTCGTGCAACGTCTCTGGGAATGCGATATCTGGATCGCTGAGTCTCGAAGTGGAGTAGCCTGCGTAGCAGGCGATTTTTAGGGAGGCGAGAGAAATACCGCCTGGCACAAAACTGGGTGTAAATGAATTACCGCCCCTGACAGCATCAACACTTTTTGTATCTGCGCGTACTGCGCGTAGCGCTAGATACTATGCTATCGAGTTTGTGTGTGAGTGGGTGCGTTAAACACTCAGGTCGACTAATTAATTATAGGGCTGTATGCCTGAGAACAGGCCGTAAAACAAAGATGGCGGCTTTCTACAGAGTGTCGATTATTTATTTATTTCGCCCAATCATTATGGTAATTATTTACATAGAAGTATAAAGCTACAACTATTAATTGGGTTAGGAGTCTAAAGAAACCTTCATAGGCTTTTAAGGAATGTCCAGTGCAAAGTTTTATATTGTGTCAATCAGTGCTATAAAAAGTATTTACAAGAATATGAAGATTAATACATTAATATTGCTTTCACTAGTAAGAATAAAGTACATAATAAGGAGAAAAGTTGGAGAGCTATAAAGACATATTCTAGCTGTTAATTACATGAATATGAGTTCGACTTCTTTGTTTAAAATATAAGTTCACTAGATTGTATTGAACAGTATTGTTCATAAAATGTATTTTCGATTTTTTTTAAAGATCGGTAGTGATGTTATTTTTGTCAAGCTAACATCAAGATTATTCCGAACATTCACTCCTTTCACTGAGAGTGAGTGCTTTATAGTATAATTAGTTCGATGGTATTAATGCATATGAAGTTTTGATGATCGAGTTTCCGGTTCTGTATTACTATTGGTGATTTGGCTATTCGCTATAAAAAAATCCGTAAATGAATGTTGCAAGTTTTGCAAATGATGGTATCGGAACATGAATAAGCTTATCATTGCCCGAAGTAACATCGTAAAGCTTTTTCGTCAGTAACCATGCATGCTTTTTTTTAATAATATCGATTGTCTATTCATATATTCATAATTAATATTTAACTGTATGGGATGTCAAAATTGTGTTTATATACGGTACATTTTATATAATTATATTCACAGCATTCAGAATTATTATGTTATGTTAGAATTTTGTTATATGGTGCATTAATAGTCACAGGACATATTAGGATTATAGGATTGCTTCATAAGCTGAGTAAAAGTTAATAACATTTCTTTACAAATTGTGTCTATTTTCTTCATTTAGCATACATTAAATGTGGGTACAGTACAGTGGTGGACACTTTGTGAAATATTGAGGGGGGCTTGTGGGCATGCTCCCCTGGAAAATTTTTTTAAAAAATGGCATTTGCAGCATTCTGAGAACACATTTTGTAAAAAAGTAGCTTTTCAAAACACTGTTTTAATTAATTTATTGTAGTATATGTATTAAATTACAATGTTTTAATTAATTTAATGGTATTATTATATGAGTGTGATTTCTGTTATTTGGTACAAGATTCTTACAGTCTATCAAAATTATAGGGGGGTCTGAGGGGGGGGGGGGC